ATAAAGATGGCAAAGCTAAAACAAAATTGGATCACAACATTATTGACGCAAAACACAGATGTTAGAGTCAGCTTCTTGGATAGAACTTCGATGATGCAAGGTTGTCTTTATGTTTCACATCTTCCTCGGATTCCCAGAACCAATGGTTTGATAACCAGCCAAACCTCAAAAAAGCTATTTTGAAAAAAAAATGAGCTGTTGAAAAATTCGGCCAAAACTAATAGAAAATGTAAAATCACCTCGACACAGGCCATATCCGCAAGCAAAGGCGAATCTGAACAAGTCCAGCTGGAACTGGGCCAAAATGACGAGAGTCGGTTGATGCCACGTAGTTATCGCCTTGCAGGAACACATGTCCACGTGGAACTCGTTTGTTTGGAAGTAACTCACTATTGACGGGATCTGATTCCTGCAAGATAAAAGATAACAAGGGCCTAAAGAAGACGCTGAATCATACTCTATCTACAACTAAAAAGAACCTCGAAAAATCCAAAATTTCGAAAACAAAAAAAATGGTGCAAGATTAGCGCCTCGAAAAATCCCAAAACTAGTCCTCCATGTATAAATTGCCTTTTGCCGCGCAGTTTTGTACGAAGCATTGGGAAACGTGGTTTCTTATTACAACCCTCCATCCTTTTTCCGTCTTTTTTCCAAAAAAAAGAAGACAGAAACAAAAACTGAGATGTTTTCCACAAAAAATACACCACCCCGCAACAGCTTACTGTCTTCCCATTCAATTAATAACTTTCAAAGCTTTCAAGCGTTTGGATAAAAACATACGAAAAATCAAAAGTAGAACGCTTACCTTGGCGATGACTCGTTTGCACAGTAGCTGTTCCGGCTCATAAGGACTCAAACAACCAACAATATCGCCGCGATGTATATTGCCAGACGTTACACCTCAATTTCTATAATAAGAAGATGCCAAACAGTTTGAAATTCACGAAAACTATAGCTTGAAAGAGAAGATGCTTTATGGGAACAAAGTTTTACTGCCGCGCTTGTCGTGGCCGCTGCTATAAACCCATTTGTCTTTGCCATGCTTAGCCTCTTACGGTCATAAAAGTTCCGCGAGATTAATGGCAAAGTGATCAACACGGGCACTGCTCTTTCGGTAAAGCAGTACAAACATTCTGTAAGCGGACAACCGAACAAGCTTTGAAAGATGGACTTTGCAGAAAAAGGCAGGTATGGTGGATCAAGGGGGGGGGGAAGGGCAAAACTTTCAAGGGAATTCTAAAT